TTCTACATATTTCTATTTGTTTTTATTTGACGAACATCCTCATATTACGTATATTATATCGAAAAGAAAATCATAGAGAGTATGAATCAAACAGAGAAAAGAAGGCAAGGGGGAAAAAGCGGACTCCTATGGACTCTTCGTTTCTTTGTGTTTTTTATTACTATTTTCTAAAATATATATCGAAAGAGATCAATTTGTACTTCAAGATTCTATATGGTTCCGCTAGATTTCATTGGATTCCATTCGATTTCTTTGGATTCCATTCGATTCCTTTGGATTCCGTTGGATTCCATTGGATTCCATTGAATTCCATTGGATTCCATTGAATTCTGTGAGATTCCAGGATTCCGTGCTTTCCCCCTTGATTTGTCTACTCCACTTCATTTGAATGATATCTATAAATAAAAACAAATAGAAATATGTAGAAAAAGAAAAACGAGAAAAAAGAATAGCATAAAAGATATTTGAGAAAATTCGTTTGGAGTAGATAAACCAATCAGGGATGTATCCGTAAAACATATCCAATAGATAAATTACAATAAAACTTCCACTGCTGGATTTCTTTTTCTTGTTTATGTTTCAAAACTATAAATGCTCGATGCATTTGTCTACTCCACTTCATCTGAATATATTTTTCGACGAGTACTAGCAACGAAACAAGACAAGTAAGTGTCATTATTGTTTTTTTCGAATATTGTCTATTCACCGGTATATAGCGCGTGACACTAGTAACGGCTATCGATCATAAACGACCTATTTTTTTTCTTCTTTCGCTTTTTGTAAGGTGTTTTTATGAGAAGGTTCACGCTAATACGTTCGACTTCAACAACAATAGTATTTTTGGGCAAAAATAACCTTTGTTACACTGTGAATTAAGATAATGAACAGTCAGTGAAAGTGGCATATGAAATTAAAGCTATCTGATGGAGTTTCAGCGAAGAAACGCGAGTGAAATATTTCTTAACATTAAGTCTATATTGATGAAATAATCTGTAGTCTCTTCGTCGATTATGTTATTTAGATTAAACAATTATATTTAGTTAATTTTACAACCGCTTTGAAGTTACGAGAGACTCAGACAGAATTCATTTCTGAAAGAATCAAAAGAAGATATCTACAAAAATCGCATATTAAAAATCGGAGAGTTGTGACTAATTCTGTCTTTCTCGACTGTGAACGAGCATGATTAGTAAGAGGATGGGTGACTACTTCTGAAGATCAAACCATGCATTTGGAGTTAGTCACTATAAAATAGAGAATTGTGGCGTAATGTTTTTCTCTATTGTTTCAGAACTATGATTAGTAAGATGACGGGTGACCACTTCCCAAGACCAAAGCATAAGTATGGTGCTTTTCACATTTGTCTCAACAGTTGTTCGAGTGAAAGTTACTAGATACAGTTAAGTTTAAAAGGATGAATCATTTCTGATAGAATGGAAACAAACACTTAATGTAGAGAAGCAGAACATTTGCATTGTACAGTGATATCGTGCTTCGTTCTCGTCATGTGAAATTTATCATTCTTTGTTCGATAAGAACAAGGAATAGTAACACCCTCATACCTTGTGGACGGAGTTGTGTTGCTTATCACGCCTTAACTCTGTCTTTCTCGATGGAAACCACCTGACGAGACCCCTGAGAAAGGTCGAAATCGGTCGTAGTATCTTCTTTTGATTCTTTCAGAAATGAATTCTGTCTGAATCTCTAGCAACTACAAAGCGGTTGTAAAATTAACTAAATATAATTCAAGTCGAGTTTCATATTTATATAGAGCAAACAACCTTGGACTTTTAGACAACTGTATTAGTCGAATAGTTTAGTATATATATATTTCAGATATTAACTAAAATGAATTCACACAGTCCCTCGTCTTTGTTTCTGTGTACACCACCAAATCTATCTTCTCCTGTTAAACCAGCATCATTACTCGTACCGGTATCACCGACACCTACATCTGTTATTAACCTAATTTCATCAGCGTCATCTGCCACAATAACACCAGCAACATTATCTAATACAAGGAAAACTGTACGTGCAAAAAGAAGTTCAGCATGGGCATACTTTCAACAACCTACCAATGCTAATTCATTTGATGTTACTTGTAATCTTTGTAATCATATTATAAATCGTACAAGAGGAGCTACTACTGCGCTGTTTCGTCATCTGAAATTACATCATAATAGTGAATATCAAGCAGCGAAGGAATCCATGCATACAACGAAGAACAATGATCCGAGTTCCCCTTTAGTTCTTGATGGTTCTCAAGTTACGCAATTAACACAAGTTGCAGTATGTCTTTTTATGAATGATTTACTACCATCGTCAATTATTGAAAGTCCGCGTTTACAAGCTATTTTTCAGCATTTTTTAGACTTACTTTAATTTTTGTGTAAATATTTAGTGCATTGTATTCAATCTTGTTCTTCTTTTATTTGTAACATACATTTAAACTGATTAGTTTACAGGTGGATTCATTTTTTTAGAATTTTTCTTGTGTTATCTAATAAAAGTATAGAAAAAACCAGTTAAAATCTGACACATGACATAGTTTCCACAAAGTGCTGAGCCGAAAGTGATTCGATTCTTAACGATCGTATGTGTGCATACTTATGCAAACGAAGGGAAGCATCTTGAAGTATTATGCACTGATTAGTTAATTTTAGATAAAATTGTTTGCTTAGTATCAAATAATGCAGCAAATATGGTTAAAATTGTTACAGATTTTGAAAAAGGTAAATCAACTGTCTGCTGATTTCATATTTCTTTTACAATGTTTCTAAATTTTCAGGTTGGTTCTCCGATCACCTGTTAAATCTATATGTTAGTGATGCAAACAAATTAGATAAAGTTAAAGAAGTATTATCAGGAGTTATATCTATTATCTGTATAAAAAATATTTATATATTATTTATATGAATAATATTTTGTATTATCTATATGAAAAACCAGATGAAGTTGATTCAAACTATGGTACTATATATGTATTGAAAATTTTCTTGCTTTATATGATGGTGTTTTGGGCTGTCCGACAAATTTTAATAGCTAACAGAATAAACTTATACCAGATTTTAATAGTCGCGTAAAAGTCACTTTGTTTGTTGTTGTTTTTTTGTAATTAGACATTATTTGAAATATATATATGTTGTTTTTTTGACACTTGCTTAAAATGCAATTAGTCGGAAAATGGAGAGTGGAGCTATATATGCCGAGTAGGTAATAGATGAACTATCCCATTGAATTGTTGACGAGTGATATCTTTGTACAAGCGTCGAACACTGTCAAAGAAGAGTCCCGGCTAAATAATTTCTGAGAAAATCAAGTTGTTTTTCTGCTGATACAGCCTATTCATCCACTGAGGTATTCATCAAACAGAAAAATGAGTTTTCTATTGGCTTATTGGAATATTCATTAAAAATAATTCGTTTTCATTGATTCTTATCGATAAGGGTGATTTATCGTTCGGAACAATTAATACATAACTTAACTTGAGTAGAAACTTGAACAGTCCAATGTACAATACATTCGTCTTAAAGTAAATAATACTATATGAGAAACAGTAAAAAAGTAAATAATTTTAAAAAAAGTTATCAGGTTGACTGAGAGTATAGGCTTATTGAAGTTTTGACATGTATTATCTTGGGGTACGTACCTGCAGTCGAACTGATCTTTTTATAAGCTTTTAGATGAAAAGAAGAGTAGATTCTTATACCGTTAACTTCTGATAAATGTTTTTGTCATTCAATTTCGTTAGACAAGACAACCGTGTTAATATTAATGGAAATAATAACAATGCTATACTATCGAATGATGCAAGCAACACCGCTTTGGTTTTACTTCTGAACAAATCAATAATTGAAGGAATAAATCACTTAAGTGAACAACACGTGTCATCGAGTAACAGACAAAAAAACATAATATAATAGCGATGATATTGTTCGTGTTTTTCTGCATTATTGTTATACTTGTAGTCATATTTATTAGCTGGAATTTAATGCAATCTTATGCTAAATTATACGCCGGTGCTCCTCAAGCTTTAGGTTGTATAATACATTTGTAGGTAGTTCAGTTCAATCCTAAAGCGAAAAAGTTTTAATTTTCTGAGGAATACTTACACTCACTAGTTCTTTGTGTACAAAATATAAATTGCTTTTTTGTTAACAGGTCAGTATATACGTCAAAAGAGTTTCAAGTTATGTGGTAATTCGACTATTCAAGAAGTTGGAAATCGTAATAATGTTAAACGATTATGTCGATATAATCAAACACATTTGAAAACTGATGCTCATTGTGGTATTGAAATGCTTCAAAATCGTTGTTTTGTTACAAAAGCTGTTTCAGCCATTGAATCAAATACAAACAGTGGTGCAATTTAGACACACAACCATTCAGCGAAAGAACAAAGAGCTTCTACATTCTCAAAAAGTGCCATTTAAAAAGAGATACTTGATTAACGACAAAAATGGAGCACTTCAAGTGTTTCATTCTGTACTTCTATTAGGAAAAAAACCATCCATCCAGAAAGACCCATGTGGTACTTCAAGTATCTCATTCGTCGTTTCAGCTTTTTCTTATATGGCAGTTTAATCAACTTTTGTTAGTGTTCAGGTAACAGCAAACTGTTTTTAATTAAATTTTTTTTTATAATATATGTTTTTTGATTATGTATTCAGTTATCACTATCAGCAAAATCATCTGTAGGATGTTTGGTAGTTCTAGAAAAATGGTAGGATCAGGGTTGCCGAATCTTCTGATTTTTAGACTTTTCTCCTTATTTTCAATTGTTTTGCTATAATGTGTTATTATATAATTTGTTTACATGTGTTCCATTTTTTAATATACGCGAACACGTTCACTATTAAAGCGCACATTAAGATGTGGAACTCATGCAAAGACATGACAAATATTCACTGTCTGTGTGCATTCGACAACTTTTTTAATGTATGTAAAGGCGTTCCTAATTACATTGCACTCCTTTAAACCCATTAGAAATCTTCATGTTAAAGCCTTTGGATTTTCTAATGCAAACTAATATCCACAGGCATCCAAAAAACTTCTTTTGACACACTCTCAGCCTTCAGAAAGCTTAGTTTTGTCCATTTTTAGACAAAACAATGCGTTCGGACACATTTTTGGTCTCAGAGGTGACTTAACGCATGATAAGCCCTTCGAGCACTATTTTTAGACCAGTTTTTGTTCTTCTAATGCGATTACACGTATTAGGCGCGCAAAATTTTCTCTTTTACGCATTCAAATGCCTTATTTCGTCGCAGGAAACTAATTTATGCGAACTTTTTAATAGATTAAAAGGAGCTACAGAGGTCTAAATTTTTTTTCTGGGCTTTGTTATCCCACAGACACATTCATGTCGTAGATAGCTGTGATTCACTCTTACCTCGAATTGATCTGCTGTTGGTATGTTTGATTATGCAAACATGCTTCTTACAGCAGAATGTGATCTTTTTAATGAACATCTCATCGCAATGAAAACATCAAATTATTTTAAGTAGTTTTGGTAACATTCGGTTTTACTCTATAAGACCGGCAAAAATTTAGTATTAATTTCAAATATCTTTTCTTCTTCCTATCGAACAACGCTTATTTACACGTTCAGTAACCGTTAGATGGAGCGGATGCCAAAGGCTACAAAGTGACATTGATAGAGGCCTGCATGCACTGAAATGGTAATGGCTTTTCTGAGTTCCAACGAATTTTAGCTATCCCTTGTTAACGAAAAAACAAAAGACTGCCGTTTCTTATTTTGCAAGCTTCTACGAACTAAAGTGTGCTGAAAGTAATTTTCATGCACAGACTTGCACAGTAATTTTGTTCTCACTTTACTAGCACCACAAAAGTCAAGGGACCGAGCGAATCGGAGATGAGCGTTACCTTGTCATTCTATCTCGTATCTTTACATGAAAACGAATTTTCTCTCGCATAGATAACGTTATATAACAGCAGAACGAAACAGTGACTCGTATTTCTTCCATTCCTATTGATGAAGCACACCCATACTTGTAAATATACATTTATCTTTAGAGAAAGAAAGTGAAAAACGCGAACGTTGACAGTACTTTTTTTCTTTTGTTCTAACAGTGCGACAAAGTCATATTTTTTCGAAAATATAAGATTTGGTTTTTATTTTTTCGTTTTTATCAAACAGATCGAATCGCTCAGCTCTTTTTGATACTTCCACTCAAGGCGAAAATGTAGAAAGTTTTCCTTTCTTAAGCTGAATTTCGAGTGTTTCCACGCAGCTCCGCCCACTTTTTACAACACATTCTGCCGACAACTTTTAACTATGCTAGTCTTGTAGCCCTCGTCAAGTTACATAAGAATTGATGGTCAGCTTTGCTTCGGATCAAGCGCTAACTCCTGCAGAAATCGCCAAAAAGTCGATTTTATCGAAAGACGGCCCCTGAATGGGCCTCTTCTATTCTTCATAAATATTCCTCAGAAATTTCGATTTCACCATTAAATAGAGCATAAAAAGTTGTCTATGCAAAGTAACTTTCAGAAGTGTATCTCATGAACTCATAGTTTGGGGGTGTTTGCTAATTTGGCAAAATTTTTTCTCCCAGCAAAAATTTGATTTGCTCATAAAATGTATAGATCATACTGAATACTATAACACATTAGTATCAAAATGAAGCTCATTGAACTTTTGTTTATATGAGATATGACAGAGTTTTAGAAGGTGTTATTTGATCTATATTTATGGGTATACGGGGGTCTTGAAAAATCTCATATGGGTATTTTGTTTTCTCAAAAACTACACCTCAGAATATGTTGAAACTTTTTCTATAAATAGACCTTAGTAAGTACTACTAGTAATTAAAATATCAATTTTTCTATATTTGAATTGTAAGAGATGTTACTCTGTCAACTTGGCGTATATCATGTCCATTTTCATGAAATCTCTGATTGTTTGGATTTTATAAACAATATGTTTTTGCATGGAAAGGCCATTTTTCCCAAATTTTCAAATGCTTCTAAACGATGAGTTTGTACGATATGGTTCTGACAATTATTTTATAAAGACATCTTTTTCTGCTCTATCCAGTGATCAACTTGAAATTTCTGAGAAATACTTATAAAGAATAAAACGAGACCATTCAGGGGGCCGTTTTTCGATAAAATCGACCTTTTGGCTATTTCTGCAGCAGTTAGCGCATGATTCGAAGCACACATAATGATCATTTATTCTACAAATCGACGAGGGCTACCAGCCTAACATACTTAATACTTGCTGACAGAAAGTTGATGTAAATCTGGGAGGAACTGCGTGAAAGTACCCTTTTGTGAAAATTTGTGTGATACGATAAAATAACGCTTGGAAGTGGGTTTTTACCCTTTTCATTGTTGAAAATATGATGTTTATTTACATAGAACGTATTCACATTAACTAAAATATAATTATAAATAATGAGTACAATGTCAATACAAGAAAACGACAATGAACGTCAAGTCGATAAGGACACTTTGCAATTACTCAACCTTAAGATAGACAACAATCTTGATGAATACATTATATTAATTATAGGTATTGATTATGATCATCATTTATCCGAAAATCTTTCACGAATTATCAATGAACAATCTATAAAATGGTTCAATGATATTGAAACAAGTCTTTCATTTATTCATTCTGTACAGAATATAAACATTTTCATAATTATATCTGGCAAACTCGGAAGAGATTATGCTCAGAAATGTCTTATTGATAAAAAAATTGTTGGTCTTTATGTGTATTGTATGAATGAAGATAAGCATAGAATATGGACAAAAGGAATTAATAAGATACGATGTACTGTTTCGGACGCAACAAAATTGTTTATTCAAATTCATCGTGATATTAAAGAGCTGAGTGGACGATGGCCAATTAATGAAAAATCATTTGAAAAAGCTACAACATCTACTTCTGAATGGTATAATTTATTTCTTCTACTTATCTGCTATCGATCTGAATCTATTAAAGAATCTTATATGGAAATGTTCAATGAATGCCGCGCATACTATCAGAACAATCCTAGTATGATTAAACAAATCGACCAATTTCAACAAACTTACAAATCTAATAATGCCATACATGAATATACACGAGATACTTTTTTATATCGTATTGTCAATCATGCTTTACGTACAAGAAATATAAAAATTATCAGAAAATTTAGTCCTTTTATCAGAGATTTACATTCTCAATTACATAACTATCATCAAAAATATTATAAGTTCAAAAAAGATTATATTCGAGCCGTGTATCGAGGACAACATTTGAGTGTAGATCAAATCGAATATCTTAGATTGGTTTCGAAATCAAATAATCCTTTCATAACAATGACTACAGTTAGTTCGGCATCGCTTGATCCTGATGTTGCATTGAACTTTGCATATTCTGTAGACGGGAGGATTTCTTGTCTGTTTGAAATTATTATACCCGATCGCTACAATGTAGGTCAAGAGTACCTATCTGATGATGAGCAAGTGTTCGCAAATATTGCTTCACTATCTGTCATGCCAGATGAACAAGAAGTACTCTTTTCTCTTACTACACGATATTATGTAAAACATGTTGGATATCCAATTAATCAATCTAATTGTACTTGGGTACCAATTGTGCTCAAACTTATCAGCATAACAGAGACAGGAAGGCATTACAATTATTTTGATATGATCAAATGGATTGAAAATGAAAAAGATCCTCAAATTTATGCTGATATTTTACATATGATACAAATTAATGTTGAAGATGAAATTAAATTTCAGAGTACAAATTGGCAAAATTGGTGGAATAATTTAAAACGTCATTCGGGGCAAGGTCTTCTAGATAAACAGCCATTACATCTTATATTCTACGATTGTTTTACCGAAGATATTAAATGGTCAAGAAAAGCAATTCAACTGCACAAAGATATTCTACATTCTACTCCTTCAATACAGTTAAACTCTTCATCTTTTTCAGAATTATTTCGTATATTCAAGATTTGGCAACAACGTCCTACAATACAGATTGCTATATATGAAGATTATTTAAAACAATTCTGTATCATAGATACGGAAGAAGTGATTAAATGTCTTTGCTTAGCTGGGGATGCTTATAAAAGGATTACTGATAATAAATGTGCATTGGAATGTTATCAAAAAGTATTGAATATGAATGTGGACGATAAATATAGAATGAATAATAAAATACAAAAACAAATAAATACGTTACAAAAGTCACCTAATACAATTCGCACGACGAATAATACTGAACGCAGATTAGTGAAAAATAATTCTAATCAAGAATATTTAGAACTATATGAAACACAACAAGATCTATGGTTACTTTATCCAGTTATCAAGAGTAAAGTTGGTGACAAAATTTCTATAGAAGCACGTTTGAAACAACTGTTCAATTATATTCAACTACGTGAGAGTTGGTATGATATGGTTGAGTCGAAAATTTGTCTTCGATTACCATACGAAAATACTACGGATTTATCGGTTAATGATTATCGATACAATTTTTTATCTGCTGTACATACACATATATCATCAAAAAATTCAATAATGGACGCAACTAACAATAATTCTTTATCTCTCTGGCGTTATACAAAGTATATGTATGAATGGATGTTATGCAAAGAATTAGAAAGATTTTTACAATATTTTCAAAAAAGATCAAAATATATTTGCTGTTTCATTCTCCCTCAACTTGAACGAATTATAAAAAAACTTCATGTGATTATCACTATATGCACAATCTATATAACTATTAAAGTAGGTCAACATTATGTTAACGTCAACAATATTCAATTCTTAAATAAGACAAATCCAGAAATGCGACATCCCATTTATATCGATCTTCGTAATAGCGATCTACTAACTGACCTTACACTATTTGAAGACAAAAATCTACCGACTGAAGAAACCACGAACACTATTCCAGATCATATGAGACTCATTTCAAGGGCATTCATCGAGTTTATGGAAGGTTTGTCGTGAAGCAAAAATTCTTTTAAAATAATTCTTAGTCACTTACAGATCGCATCATCATTTTTCCAAAACACAAAATACCACATTTCGACCTATATAATCACTTGTCATTACGAGGTAATCGATAATAATTAGTAAAGCAAGAAAAGAACGGATGGTGTTTTCTATAACTTCTCGCAAATTACTGTCAATATTTTACTAAAATCATTTGTTCTCTATAAATATTGGTTTCTGCTACTATCAAATCAATAATGTCTTGTCAAAAATTGATTGAATATGTCGATTGGATTGATGCTTTTGGTAAAAATTATAGTTGTGTGTCCTCTAACTTCGTTTGGAAAAATATTTGTTTCGAATAATATTTTGATTCCAATTTCATGCAAGATTTCCGTCACCTTCAATAACGTTGTCCTTTTCGGCTTCATCTAATTAAATATCTCTTTTGTTCTTATTGTGAAAATCATCTTGATCCACTGTAATATACCAGACGACAGAGAATCAAACGCTGAACAAAATGAGCTCATTTTGTTCAGCCTTCGATGTTCTATCAGTTGATGTATTATAGTAAATATTTCGTTAATGTTTTTTTCATCTAAGAAAATCCAACTTTATAACTTTATGAACGATTTTTTGATGATATTCTTTATAGTAGTTTTTTTTCCATATAATTGGTCAGTATTGTGAGACCCTTTTCAGTCCAAGTGTACCATTTTGTAGAGGAGAAAAGGCTACACAACATATATCAAAATCAGTTTTGACCTCTTTACCATGACGGAATGGGAGCTGAAATACTGAAAAACACTGACATATTTTTCATTGAAAAATAAGCAGTCAGGGACAGTATTTCGAGAATAACTCCAGATCAGTCTCTTGAAATAGGATACATAAACAGCTATTTATATATTATTTTTCGATGAATTAAAACCATTTTATCTATCAACTACTGTCTGTAGTGGTCATTTTTCTAGAAAAAAATAGGTCAGTATTTTTCAGTATTTTAGCTGCCATTCAGTCATGGTAGGGAGGCCCAAGCTGATTTTGATATGTGTTGTGTAGCCTTTTCTCCTCTACAAAATGGTATGCTTGGAGTGAAAAGGGTCTCACCATGTAGACGAATTATATAGTATTTATAGTGAAAATTTATTATGAATGTTTTTTTTTCCTCATGAAAAGTAAGAACTTTTAGTATGCTATGAAGTATTCATGATATTTCCTAGATAAGTACTGCTTTTTCTCACACATATATGCTTTATAAAGATTACAAAATAGGTATACGTTGCTTGTTACTTAAGACACATTTTGCCACCACATCAACCATAGGGCCAAAAGTCGGTCAAGTGAAATTTTTTGATCTATACTTTTTCTTCTATTTTTCGATTCTATGATCAAAACTGGGGTTATGAAAAAATTTTAAGGTCGTTTGGACTTGATTTCGCCGAGTTATAGAATTTATAAAATTAGGTGTATCGAAGATTTTCAAAAAAGTGAGGT